ACAGACAAGCTTCAGTTGACTGACTGATAGCACAGAGCGAATAGTGACTTAAGAAGCATCACGAGAGGATTTATATGTCTATTTTCATCAACCTATAGTCGGAATGCGGATTCAGAATCTATTATTTATGCTAAATTTACAATATAATGAAAATGTATGTTTAGTCTCAGTGTAACGGAGGCCAGGTAGTAAGAGCTGTGCAGGTAAACCTCACTGCCCTGATCTCAACAGGCACACTAGCGACTGATGCTAGAGGCTGCTGTCTTTAGCATCCTTGATAGCACACGCCTTCCATGCTAGAAATGCTCGAATCCCGCTCAGAGCAAGTGAGGGGAGTAGAACCCGAAGGGTTACGTCAGGTCATAATGTATGTGCATGCAAAGATCATTTACAGTAGCAACTTTATCATTGATTTTAAGGCTTACCTTGCTGAAAATGACATTTTAAACCATAGTCTGCTGGTCTTTGTTGTTTTATGATTGTCTTAGGTAGTTGTCCATCTGTTCTGCCAGTCTGATTAATAGAAGTGCTATAAACCTCTCTAAAAGCCTGCAAAAAGATCAGTCTGAGCAGGCTGGGAGAGCAGCTAATAGTTTAAGATGCTGTTTTTCTATGCTATGTTAAAGTCTGCAACACCTCTGTCAGTTTAATCCAACTGTAATTCTGAATCCAGAGATGCAGAGAGATTTCAAGATATATTTTACGATTTATCCTGCTGAAAAGGTCAACCTAAACCAGCCAAAGATGTTCTTAGCTGGTTTATGATGGTCTTAAATAGTCATCAATCTGGTCTCAAAGTCTGACCAGCAGAAAACTGCACCAAATTTCTCTGAAATCTAGGGGACCGGCTAAAGACCAACAAACTAGTTTATGCTGGTTTAAGATGTTTTTGTTCCAGGCTATGTTCAGATCACCAGTAATTTAATTCAACTGCCATTGCAAATCTAGAGATGTTATGATATATTCTAAGATTTACCCTGCCAAAAAAAAAAGGTCCTAAAATGGTCTGCTGGTCTTATCTGGTTTTATAATGGTTTTAGCTGGTCGTCCATCTGGTCTCCCAGTCTGATTATCTGAAAAGCACTCATAACTTCTCTAAAACCTGCCAACAATTCAGTCTGAACAGGCTAGGAGACCAGCTAAAACCAGCAATCCAGTTTAAACTGGTTTAAGATGTTTTCTTTCCAGGTTGATTTAACTCAAATTAGTTGGATCCATAACTTTCTTAAACTAGACTAATATGTTTTGCTGGTCTTATCTGGTCTGGTTGGGTGGTTTTAGAGGATTTTTTTTTGTTTTGTTTTGTTATGGCCTACCTTCTCAAGCCAAAAGAAGGCTTTTCATTCTGATTGCGCTATTAGTCAAATTATTAATGAATCATTAGGCTGCTATTATTGTGAATAGCATGAAAGGACAGTCGTTTAACTTGATTGCTTCTGCAGTTTCCACAATTTCTGCAGAGTCTGCAGAACGCCGCTCTACATCCTGTTGGAAACATGCACAACACTATATAAATGTGCACGGGGATGGATGAGGAACTTGGCAAGCCCACACGTAACCCAGAGAGGGAGAGAGAAAGATTAGAGAGCATTAGGAGGCATGTGTGATCCATCCTCGGGAGCTTGGGATGTTTCAATAATGATGTATGAGCACTTGGCCTCTAGGGATACCCAGGATGTAACCCAGATTCTGTGCTCGGATGTGCGAGAAGACCGATGACTGTGTCTGTGTGTGTGACATGTGTGTGACGTGCGTGTATGAGAAAGCGAAGCAGATCTCAGCGGTACGTGCTGCCATCATGTGTCATGTAACCTGCTCTGTTTTAGCAGTGAGCTAATTCTAGCCTTTCAGTCCCCAAAACAAACATATTCAATCAATATCTGTGTTTATAACAATTTTCTATGTGGCAGCTACACATCTCATTGGCTTACATTGGTGCCTGAATGTTTGACCCAGCACAATCTGTCAAGGCCAATTTCCTCCAGACTGTTTTATTTATTCCAGTCTGAGCTGTCAGGAGTAAAAGTGCTGTTGTGTCTCCATCTAGTGGCTGCAACCCTACTTTGTCAATAAAATAAGGTAAAAATGAAATAAAATACAAAAAGAATGGTATAGATAAATAAATAAAAAACAAAGTACAGATAAAAATAGAGCACAATTAAAGTACAAATAAAAAATAAAGTATGAATTAAATACACAAAAATACAAATAAAATGCAAAAAATGAAAGTACAAATAAAATACAAAAAACAGAAAATACAAAAAATGAAAATACAAATAAAGTAAAAAATGAAAGTGCAAATAAAAAAAAATAGAATACAAGTAAAAATAAAGCAAACTGTAAATAAAAGTTAAATACAAAAATAGAGTATAAATAAAAATCTTAATTATGCAATATTGTTTTCAATGATTTAGATTACAATAACTTTCATTTTGATAAGGGCATGTTTGTCATGAAGTTGGCACATACTGCAAAATGCTTTAAGATGCCTGTACTTTCAGAAAAAAAGGGAAAGGGTGCCAACACATAACACATAATTAACTGCAAAGCAAGCATGCATGAAACATCTGAAGTATTCACGCCTCAGAATAAAATCCCTCATGTGATCGTAGCGACATTTTATCTCGTGGCCTACGTGTCTTTCATCTGTGAGCGGGGTTTGGGAATATCATGTTCCTCCTGGGTCACTTTAATAACAAACCATGCTGAGCTCAATGGAAATGCACAGGAAGACTCAATGAACCTACGTCTGTCTGTCATGACGTTGGTCAGCACAAACTGCATATTAAAACTAAAAATGGTGCAAATTCTTTTGTTATGAATAACTGTAAGTGCTCATTTTTTTTGCGGTGACTATTATTTATTAACTTGAGTTGTTTTTATTCCAGACAGTGTTTAGTGGTCAGTTTATTTGAAACATTTTTCATTTGATTTATTTTTTTTTTTTCTACTGCAGACCGACATAAAATACCATGTGTGAATGCTTGGATCATCTGGAGACACTGTATGCAATGTAAATGCATGAAATTGCATAGAAGGACAGTACATAAATGACATTATTTGCTACAGACAAGTTTAAAAACACATTTGAGAAGTTTAGTTGCCATTTGAATGTCCTTAGATGGTAATACAGTATAATTTTTTTAGCAGTATAAACTTAGCCTTATTCAGCCTTATGCCTTATGTGTGAATAAGTAAAAATATAATTCTTAGCTTCCTCCTTTTGGGGATTTTAGTGCTCTTGATGTTAGTAAATGTTGCGGTGAATAGAGGTATTAATAACAGTGAAATTATGAATGTGTGCTCTTTCTGTATGAAGAGCTTGAGTTGGACGTGAGGTCAGCAGCCAGACACCGAAAGGTCAGAGTCATAGTAGACTGGATCATATGACTGCAGTAACGCACACACACACAGAACATATCTATTACACACTCACATATAAACAGTGATCTGCATTTGTCCAAAATTAAAACAAGCACATACAAAGACCAACACACTGGCAAATTCAATAAACAGTGTTGTATTTCAGCTCAAAACTATGCGTCTTCACTAAACACCCACAATCCAGTTCAACAAGGCATATAAATCATGCATTCTTTTGAGCCCAAACACACAATGTTTTATGTAAATTAGGCTCATTATAGATTGCACCATATTCACATATAAACTACTTTTATGATACTTTATGATGTTTTAATGCCGTTTTAAAGATTCTTTGTAATTGCATGGAGAAGAGCATGAAAACTCATTTTGTGTTCCTGCAGACATGAGGGTGAGTAAATGAGGGAAATTCTACCTGTACATAAACTATGCCTTTAAGGCTATCAGTTATGAATTACATAGAGTTATATTCACAGATCAGAGGGTCGAGAAGCCCCATTCTTTCCCCAGCCTCTGTCTCTCTCCCTCTCTCTTTTGGGAACAGAGACATGATGAGATTTGCAGGAAATGTCACGTCTGTCACATACATCCCCAAAGAGACATGAAATGCAGCTGTGTCCTCACAGGCTACATAGTGCATTCAGTACGCCTTTGTATGAACCCAGTGAAACATTACATAAAGGTACAGTACCAGTCAAAAGTTTGGGACTGAATATTGATCCCCACGACACAAGGCTCATGATGAAATGCTTTTGTATTGTTACGTCGCTCCCCAGTCTAGGGGTATTAGGAACGATGAACAAGGTTAAATAATTTGAGAGAGACAAGGAGGTCTTTAGGCTTTTAGTTTAAGTAAGAAACAAAAAGGATACAGAAATAGTCATATAGTCTCAGGAGGGGGTTAAGCCAAAACAACAACAAAATCAACTCTTTCCATGGTTAAGGAAAATCGAACTTACCTGCCTAAAAGAAACAAATAAATGAACAGGGAACTTCCCTCTCTCCCTTACTAAACCAAAAACAGGAGAAAACTATTATACAAAAGTTGGCACCCACATCCCTACTCAAAAAGTAGTAATTTGTTACAATATGTTAAGTTTCTTACAATTTGACATTGGGTGACACACAGCACAACAATCACATAATCATACAACAGATTCAATCTACAAAGTAAACAACAACCACAACAGTTAGGTCTGGGGCAGGAGAGAGGAACCCTCTCCACACAATGTGCTTAGTTCTTACTCGGAGCTCGAGCCGAGCCTCGGGTTCGAGCCTCCTTCGCTGACAGCAAGCCAAGTTGGTCTACCATTATCTGGCAGGGCTGAATGGGCAGGCGAACCCGTGAAACAGCAATACAAACACATCAACTTCTCATTTAAATTCCCCAAACATAATACACAAACAAGCATTACGTCCTTACGTCCGATTTTGTGTAATTTTCCAGTTAAAATATCTAAATAAAGATAAATTTACTTAAGAAGGAACAATGTATGTGATATTAAGCGACTGTGTCTTTAATATCAGTGTATTTTGTCTGATTTTTCTTTTCTTTTACACTTTTACAGGATGCACTAAATGAAAATCAGAATATGTATTCATATCTTATGCACTGTTGCTTGTGTAGTAGTTTTATCTTTTAAGGACTTATTTTTTTTACTGGAAAACAAGGCAAAAAAGACTAATTTAAAAACTTGTAAAAAGGTAGAAGTAAAAGCTCAAAAATGAAAAGATTTAGTATCTACTGTATACTTTTGACTGGCACTGTATTTCATTGAGATATATCTGTGAAAACAGTTGTTTCCTTTGACATTACAAGAGGGTTTCTGTCATTTAATTATATCACAAAATATGGATTAGCACATTTCCACTATTCTAGCAGTTTGAATTTAGGATTATATTAAAAGACTCCTGTTTCAAGTGGGACTTTTAATGGGAACACAAGTGAGGAGAAAGAAAGAAACAAAAATGCCACCTAAATCTCATTTTGTCAAATGATTTTGGGCCCGTAGAATCACTTTGTGTCACTTTTCATTTCAGAGTCACACAATTTGACAAGAACTGCCTCAGAAACTTTCAAGAACTTCCTGTCTGGTCTCAGTCCACATTGACAGCCCCGTCCAGACGCTGCTTCATGCCCTGGCCGCACCACCAGCACAGAGAAAACAGATAGAGGGCCATGCAGGTCGGTAGGTCGTAGAGATACGCCATTATGAAGATCACAAACAGAATAGCATACACAAGAGCCTTGGCCATGTGACCCAGCGAGCAGAACTCCCTCCACCATGATAACAGCCTACTGCTGTTGCCTTCCACCCAAGACAGGTGAATGCTGGGTAACGGCGTGGAGAGCTCATCCTCTTCATCGAGTCGCTGGGGTTTTTGAAAGTTTTTGAGGGTCTTCCCAAGCTCAAAGTCTTCCTCTGCAAAAGTGACCTCTCTTTCCTTTGCAGATGTTGTCTGAAGGAGGTGCCTGGATGGGTAAATGCTAACTGTTGGATAGGTAGGTAAGGTGGGTACAAATTTGGTAGCATGACTCTCAAACTCTTTCTCTTCTCCATCTGTGCAATTGTCATCCACTGCTTGGGAGTCCTGTACAAGCTCTTCAGCACTAGCAGGTTCTATAGTCATCTCATTCAGTCTCTCCCTCATTTTAAGTCCTTCGTTTGCCTCAAAACGCCTCTCTTTGTTTTTCAATAGCTCTGAACCGTCTTTGTTAAAAATCTTGTTCGACGTGCATAATTCGTTCTCATTAAATGCTTCCCTCTCGCACGATGAAACGCTCTGTATTTCTGCGCTGTGATCCGTAGTTGTCTCATCTTGTCCTTCTCTACTGCTTTCCGTGTCCTCTTCATGTAGTTCTCTACAAAACGCCCTCATTTCCACCTGCTCCTCGCTGGCTTCTTTATTTATATCCTTCCTTTCTGAAGAAGATCCCTCGGCCTGTCTATTTGTGAGCGGCACATCCCTGATCTCCATAAATGTCAGGGTGTCTTTGACCGCTCTGTGTGTGTTTTCTTTAACCTTTGAGGTGTCGAAGCTGCCCATGCATTCTTCAGGTGCGATTCCATCTCCGGCTTCTGAATTCTGAGTCTCAGTGTCATGTGTGGTTCGAGTTTCGCCCCCTGGGCTTGCTTTGGTCGTGTCTTGACTCAAAGATCCGCTTGTGTGCTCATGATGTGGGGCTTGGCGGTCACGAGATGCCTCTAACTCACTTACCACCCTCTCTGGCTCCGATCCCTGGGCAGAACATGGTAGGGTAGTGACCCTAGGCTCTTTCACTAGTTGGTAATCCACAACCTGATCTCTAGAAGGACTTATGCTCAGATCCTTTGATTGCTCTACAGGATCAGATTTTACAGTTTCCGTTGCTTTCCTGTCAGCAGACTCTTGACTGGGGTCTTTCTCAGCTCCCGTGTCCTCCGTCGGGACTACGACTTTGGCCCTTAAAGCTACAACTTCTGACTCTGGACGGACACATACTTGGTCCTGCGTATCAGTGCCATTAAGAAAAGCTTCCCAGGCCTTAGAAGCTGATATGGCAAGGTGATCTTCTGCCTGATGGCTTGTTTCACTGTAGGCATCTGGAGGGTTTGATTGGGGGGGTGTTGTTGTGGTATTGCCCCAATCCAGGGAAAGCAAAGGGATCTGGTGGTACATTAGTATTGGTGGCGTGCCCACGGCAACCGGCAAGTCGGTTCTACTTGGTATATTCAGCCTTGGGATGGATGTGGTACTTTCATCTGTGTTGGAAATACATCCCTTCTGGGTTTCCACTGCTTTCTGAGTGAAGAAGTTCTGCACGTGTGCCAAACGAGCAGCTTGACGTTTCCTACGACGATCCACCTGTCAAAAAAGAGACAATATGGAGAGAAAAGGTGGTTTTAAACAGACTTTATTATGTCATGTTTGTAATGAGAGGCACTTATTGAGTGGAATATAATGTTGCAAAATGAATTTATCTTTACTAATAACTTCCTACTTTGCATTTAAAGAGATCGTTCACCCAGTTGTTCAAAGCCTGTATATTTATCAATAGAAAAAAACAGCTGGTTTAATTCTGGCAAACTACCCCTTTTATTGGTGAACTACCTCTCTAAATGCCCGCCTTTATCTCTGGACCTTGACAGTCACTAGTGTCTGGTAGACGTGGGGCACTTTGATGTGTTCATGTCATCTGCTGAACCTGATAGCTTTGATAAATGCTTTTGAATTATATATGTGTATCTGTACTGAAACAACACAATGCTTCTGTTTGGAAATGTAGAAGAGACCGGTGACCCTTGGCTTTTTCACTAGTTGGTAATCCACAATCTGATCTCTAGAAGGACTCCAGTTAAACCCTCACTCGCAATGTGACTAGGCACAGAGCATCAGGTTGCAGCTGAACATTGTGTGGCTGCCAGGCTTAAAAATAGCTGCGAGTGCTGCCGAACTATGCTGGACTTCCTGGTCACTAGTGTCTGGTAGACGTGGGGCACTTTGATGTGTTCATGTCGTCTGCTGAACCTGATAGCTTTGATAAATGCTTTTGAATTATATATGTGTATCTGTACTGAAACAACACAATGCTTCTGTTTGGAAATGTAGAAGAGACCGGGGCTAGCTGTCACATGGGCAATTGGCTCAAGTTTTATATAAAACGATAACTATTAGTTTTAAATGCTTGTGGTTTTGTATTTTAGCATCAAACACCTAGATAACTAAAACCAGTTTTTGTGAATTCTGGTCTTGAAACAAAGTTTTACAATGGTCATATTTTGTTATATCGGTTGGATAAGCAAATAAACATAATAATTACCACACTGTCAGTGTCATTACATTCAGATAATATAATGAAAATATATAAGGTTTTGGCAAGTCATGTTTTTTCATGTTTTTATACAATTTATAAAATTCTTTAATGATTATTTCTTATGTTTTATTTTATAGTTTATATGTGGACTGTGTCTTGAATTGTTTTCTTTTAGTTTTATATTTGATTGAAAAGTCTTTCATCCAGTTGTGCATTTTAAATACATATTGTTTAAGATGGCTTTTATTACATTAGATATTATTTCATATTTCAAACAAAGGTGTTTTTATCAAATAATTGTCAGGGAACAGTAGGTTCCTATTGTGACAACTTTTTTTTTTAATGGAGCCAAGACATGGATGACTAAAATTGACTAAAATATTTTTTACTTCATTCATTTATAAAAATGTACACTTTTTGTTTATTTTATTTATGTAATTTTGCCTTTTATTGTACAGCTAGTTAATCAATGGTAGATTCTTATGAAGTGTGAATTCCAGAAAGCTTTTGCATTGTTTTGTTTGTGCAGTATTACAATTGGCCACGAGGTGGTAGTGTCTAATCAAAGTTGTGTACACACTGTTTGCTTCTTTGAGAACCAAAAGTGGATTCCAAAACATTCCTGTAGGTGGCAGCAAACCCTTATGTTTCATGCCAGCTTTCTCAAAATAACCCCCCCCCCCCCCCCCCCCCCCCCCCCCCCCCCCCAACATCCATATAGAAAATGCATGTTTTTATTTCTTTGTGATAAAACCCATGAAATGATGCATTTTCTTGATTCAACCTTTTATTTAAATGCATGCATGTGGTGAAAAGAAAACAATAAATATTCTATTTCTGATCAATTAACAAAAAATTCCTAACACCTCTGCAGACATCTGCCAGATATTTATTATCAGGTATTGCAAGTGTTAAAATGTTCTAATAAAACCAAGTCAAAATCTGCTATGCAGCCTATTTATTTAAATATGCATGAACAATATTTTGATTAGATGCAAATATACCTTTTTTTTACATGACCATCCACCCTTTATACAATTATCATATTTAATAGAGATAGTTTTTGCTACCACAACATGTAATGAAGATAGTTAATTCAGACAGGGACAGGGATGATTAATTCACAAAGGGAGACTTATGATATTATCAATCTTTGATCTGAAAATCATTTTCCCCCCGTTTTATTTATATGAAAATTTCAAGGCAGTGGCACACAGTTACAGTACAAATATGATGCATAGCTCACCATTACAATATGTGTATCAGCTAAAGAGCTATAGTAATTCAAACACATAAATGGTCAAAAGCAAAAATTTTCTCACAACATCAGCTGATCTCTCAAATAAACAATATCCAATGAAAAAAAAGCTGATTATCTACAGTGTTGTTCAACTCGAGGTGTATTTAAATAAACCTGGGGTGTGTGAACTATTTAGCAAGTGTTGATACATTTCATGCTCAAATAAATAAAAATGTTTTGTTAAAAATAAATAAAACAAAGCTTGAATTTATTTTAAACAATTAAGGAAATAAAAAAGAAAGCACACAAAACAAAGCAACAAAGCACAACAATTCTCAGTTGTTCCTTTGTTTTCAACACTCTTCCACATTGCTAATCTACAGATTTTTATATAGTATTCTTCAAATTCTATATACTTATATATATATATATATATATTCTACCTCTACAAATGACACTTTTAATGACTATATTTATTTGTTTGTTTCATTTTATTTATTCATAATAAATTATATATACAATTGATTATTTAATTATAAACAGATAAATAGGAATTACAATCGAATGAAAAATAGTGATAATAAAACTGGTAAATAAAAAAATTAATAAATGATAGCACTTCGCAATCCTGTTCTTCATCTCTACTCGTCTCTTTATTAAATGAAACAGTTGATCAATATTGTTTATTCTTAATAGTGTATTTAAGAGACCCGATTAACAAAAACTTCCTCAACTTCTAATGACTGGATTGTTTACCCAGCAGGTGGACATGAAGTCACGTGGGGCCGCAGTACGCCAAAAAATAACAACATGCACGTCCGCGTAAGTGCCTCCCAGCATTTTAATAAGCTAGGCGTCTAACAAAAAAATAAAATAAGAAATGCACACCTGTACTTGAACTTAAAGTGTTTTTAGGGTTTTTTGTTAGGGCTATTATCATCACAATAAGCAACATATTACCCTTTGTGTGTTTTAATATACATCTCTAAACGGTCATAAAACTCTAATGGCAATTAAGCCGGCAAGCCTTCTGTTTGTATCCATGTTAACTTCACAGAAATGTTTCCATGACAACCTTCATGCACGTTAAGGCAACCAGAGGTGATCAAGTCTTTTTTTCTTTTTCCCCCTCCCTTTCCTTTCCTCTTGCAAGAGTGGAATTTGTGTTGACAGTTCTGGCCTTTAATGGCACTTTGGTGCCGCGTGAAAGTATTTGTTTACCGGGATCATATGCTGCTAGCTGTCAGCCTCGCAGAGATTGACTTCTCCAGATAAAAGACTGTATTACATGCTTAAGAGGTCTTATGTGCCGTAATTATCCACATCATCCTAATGACGTTTGGTGTGCTTCAGTAACTAAGATACTGAGTGCTTCCTCTGAGGTCACCGATTAGAAATAAGAAATGCGTTTTTGTTGTATTAAAGCTTTTTCTTTTTTAGTGGGTGTCGGTGAATTTTATGCTTATTTTATGGATTTAAATGTTCACTGCATTGATTAATGGCATGTTACTTCTCAATCTGAGGTTGCAACGCTCTAGACCTTTCGTTTGATTTTTTTTTCCCTTAAACATGGCATATAATCCCCAACTCTAGTCTTTTGACTGCGATGGCGCTCTTTCACACGAACGATATCACATGACCTTTATGGAGAGGTATTAAAATCACCCATAAGCGTCTTATCTTAGTACAAATGCCCTTGAAATTATTCATTGTATGCTTAGCTGATATTATCAGTGCTGAAATGTTGTCATACTTTTTTTTTTCTTTCAATTTGAAGGCATGACAGGGTCTTTTTGGCTGAAGGCACTGATTTATTGAGCGTTTTAGTCTCTGGTTGACTTAAAACCCCAGTCGTGGATAAAGGGGAGGCGTCATTTGTAGTAAACGGCAAGGTCAGCTCCGCTTGGACCAAATTTGCCCATAGCCTGTGATGAGAGGAAGTGTGGAAGTCGACTCGATGTTAGTATTTATGATGCTTTTTACACCAGGCTTAGTTTCAGCAGCTATGTATTCTTTAATTTTTTGGCACAAATAATTTGGTTATTTAAAAGTCGTGGATAAAGGGGAGGCGTCATTTGTAGTAAACGGCAAGGTCAGCTCCGCTTGGACCAAATTTGCCCATAGCCTGTGATGAGAGGAAGTGTGGAAGTCGACTCGATGTTAGTATTTATGATGCTTTTTACACCAGGCTTAGTTTCAGCAGCTATGTATTCTTTAATTTTTTGGCACAAATAATTTGGTTATTTAAAAATATATATTTTTAAAGGTGACATATTATGCCCCTTTTTACAATATGTAATATAAGTCTTAGGGGTCCCCAGAATGTAACTGTGACGTTTTAGCTCAAAATACCCCACAGATCATTTATTATATCATTGTGAAAATGCCTATTTTGAGTGGATGCAGAAACACGCTGTTTTAGAGCATGTCTCTTTAAATGCAAATGAGCTGCTGCTCCCCGCCCCCTTTTCCAGAATAGAGCTGTGCCATTACAGCTCATATCTGCTAAAAAAACATCTGTTTTGGTTCTGATTATCATGTTTATCGCTCTGAAATCATGCGTTTTAAACCATATTAGTTTAAACTTTCATATATAAGGTTTTCTGAGTGCACACATCCAAAGCACACGGACAGAAAGCGGCTGTCACAGCATGTGAGTACTAACCTAAATTCTCATTCACACACAAGTTTATGTTAAAAACACACATGAGTTACAAAAACAGTCGGTTATGTATGTGAAGGTAAACAGCTGGGAAATAAATCGCATGTTTATTTTAGATCTGTGTGGCAGCAGCAATATACAGTAAATAA